GGCATTGAAAATGGGCCGTGGATGGGTATTCCAGTATGACAATAACCCAAAACACACGGCCAAGGCAACAAAGGAGTGGCTCAAGAAGAAGCACATTAAGGTCCTGGAGTGGCCTAGCCAGGCTCCAGACCTTAATCCCATTGAACATCTGTGGAGGGAGCTGAAGGTTCGAGTTGCCAAACGTCAGCCTCGAAACCTTAATGACTTGGAGAAGATCTGCAAAGAGGAGTGGGACAAAATCCCTCCTGAGATGTGTGCAAACCTGGTGGCCAACTACAAGAAACGTCTGACCTCTGTGATTGCCAACAAGGGTTTTGCCACCAAGTACTAAGTAATGTTTTGCAGAGGGGTCAAATACTTATTTCCCTCATTAAAATGCAAACCAATTTATAATTTTTTTTACATGCATTTTTCTGGATTTTTTTGTTGTTATTCTGTCTCTCACTGTTCAAATAAACCTACCATTAAAATTATAGACTGATAATTTCTTTGTCAGTGGGCAAACGTACAAAATCAGCAGGGGATCAAATACTTTTTTCCCTCACTGTGTGTGTGTATATATATATATATATATATATATATATATATATATATATAGTGGGGGAAAAAAGTATTTAGTCAGCCACCAATTGTGCAAGTTCTCCCACTTAAAAAGATGAGAGAGGCCTGTAATTTTCATCATAGGTACACGTCAACTATGACAGACAAAATGAGAAAAAAAATCCAGAAAATCACATTGTAGGATTTTTTATGAATTTATTTGCAAATTATGGTGGAAAATAAGTATTTGGTCAATAACAAAAGTTTCTCAATACTTTGTTATATACCCTTTGTTGACAATGACACAGGTCAAACGTTTTCTGTAAGTCTTCACAAGGTTTTCACACACTGTTGCTGGTTTTTTGGCCCATTCCTCCATGCAGATCTCCTCTAGAGCAGTGATGTTTTGGGGCTGTCGCTGGAAAACACGGACTTTCAACTCCCTCCAAAGATTTTCTATGGGGTTGAGATCTGGAGACTGGCAAGGCCACTCCAGGACCTTGAAATGCTTCTTACGAAGCCACTCCGGTGTGTTTGGGATCATTGTCATGCTGAAAGACCCAGCCACGTTTCATCTTCAATGCCCTTGCTGATGGAAGGAGGTTTTCACTCAAAATCTCATGATACATGGCCCCATTCATTCTTTCCTTTACACGGATCAGTCGTCCTGGTCCCTTTGCAGAAAAACAGCCCCAAAGCATGATGTTTCCACCCCCATGCTTCACAGTAGGTATGGTGTTCTTTGGATGCAACTCAGCATTCTTTGTCCTCCAAACACGACGAGTTGAGTTTTTACCAAAAAGTTATATTTTGGTTTCATCTGACCATATGACATTCTCCCAATCCTCTTCTGGATCATCCAAATGCACTCTAGCAAACTTCAGACGGGCCTGGACATGTACTGGCTTAAGCAGGGGGACACGTCTGGCACTGCAGGATTTGAGTCCCTGGCGGCGTAGTGTGTTACTGATGGTAGGCTTTGTTACTTTGGTCCCAGCTCTCTGCAGGTCATTCACTAGGTCCCCCGTGTGGTTCTGGGATTTTTGCTCACCGTTCTTGTGATCATTTTGATCCCACGGGGTGAGATCTTGCGTGGAGCCCCAGATCGAGGGAGATTATCAGTGGTCTTGTATGTCTTCCATTTCCTAATAATTGCTCCCACAGTTGATTTCTTCAAACCAAGCTGCTTACCTATTGCTGATTCAGTCTTCCCAGCCTGGTGCAGGTCTACAATTTTGTTTCTGGTGTCCTTTGACAGCTCTTTGGTCTTGGCCATAGTGGAGTTTGGAGTGTGACTGTTTGAGGTTGTGGACAGGTGTCTTTTATACTGATAACAAGTTCAAACAGGTGCCATTAATACAGGTAACGAGTGGAGGACAGATGAGCCTTTTAAAGAAGAACTTACAGGTCTGTGAGAGCCAGAACTCTTGCTTGTTTGTAGGTGACCAAATACTTATTTTCCACCATAATATGCAAATAAATTCATTAAAAATCCTACAATGTGATTTTCTGGATATTTTTTTCTCAATTTGTCTGTCATAGTTGACGTGTACCTATGATGAAAATTACAGGCCTCTCTCATCTTTTTAAGTGGAAGAACTTGCACAATTGGTGGCTGACTAAATACTATTTTTCCCCACTGTACTGTATGTGCAGTAAAGCCATGCTGTAAACAGCTGATGCACTTCAAATTTCAATAATCAAACAAAATGCCTTTATGACTGACAGAAATGCTAGGGACTCATAAAGTTCAATAGGAACCATCAAAGGCTTTGTGGCAGTGTGCAGATTTCCATACAGATTTCCATCAGGAGGTAGAGCTTGATTACAATTGATACAGGAGCAATAGGTGAGTCATCTATCTATCTACAGTGAGCTCCAAATGTATTGTGACAGTGACCATTTTTTAGTTGTTTTGGCTCTACTCCAGCACTTTGGATTTGAAATGATACAATGACTGAGGTTAAAGTGCAGACTGTCAGCTTTAATTTGAGGGTATTTTAATTCATATCGGTTGAACCATTTAGAAATTACAGCACTTTTTGTACATAGTCACACCATTTTAGGGGACCAAAAGTATTGGGACAAATTCACTTTTATGTGTATTAAAGTAGTAAAAAGTTAAGTATTTGGTCCCCTATTCATAGCACGCAATGACTACATCAAGCTTGTGACTTTACACATTTGTTGGATGCATTTGCTGTTTGTTTCAGATTATTTTGTGCCCAATACAAATGAATTGTAAATAATGTATTGTGTCATTTTGGAGTCACTTATATTGTAAATAAGAATATAATATGTTTCTAAACACTTCTACATGAATTCAGGCTGCAACACAACAAAATGTGGAATAAGTAAAGGGGTATGAATACTTTCTAAAGGCACTATATCTATCTATCATGTCTCTCTCTCTTTCTCTGAGTTGCTTTCTCATTCTTCCAGCTAAATCTCAACTGACTAAATGTCCACCTTAGAATCCAGGTTCTCTTTTGTGAGTTAATCATCTCTCCAATTTATGCATTTTTGGCACTTCAATCAAATTCAAGGAATACCTTTTCATTAAATTAGTTGCAATTAGTAATTAGCAATAGGATTTCTTTCAAAATGCAGCTTTAAGAGTGGGAGTTTTAGGCCTGTATGAAGGTACTGAAGGGCTCAGACGCAGTTTAGAATTAAAGTCACTGAATCCTTAGATGAAGCAGTGTTCTCAGATTAGCAAGTCTGTGTGTGTGTGTTGCAATATTATTCTCCTCCTTGCAGTGTGGTCATAGTCCTATTAACAAGTGAAACTCTGTCCCAGTGTTACAGTAGAGAAGCAGAAGCAGAGTCTGTGGTAGAGAAAATGTCTACATTCCCAGTTCCTGTCTAGGCTGTGCTGTAATCATACTGTTAATGACATTTTCGCACCAACTCTGAAGCCAATGCCTGTGAGTTTATAGTGTTTGTGATATAAAGTATTAACATGAACTACCATCCAAAGAATTCGTAACACATCCATAAACACTAAATAAACATGACATAACAGCTACAGGTACATTGAACATTTTTATTTATTTATTTGTATTTATTTTGTGGTGTATATCACCTTGTTTTTGTGAAATGACTACACGTGGGTGGGTGTATACGAGTTCATGTACATGTCAGGAATGTGTACATGTGTGTACTCTAAATATGTGTGTGTTGTGCTTACAACCCACCTGCTACTCTCTGTCCCTCACCAATCGCCCCTCCACTCTTTGTTTACACTCGCGCCTCTCCACCTAGGCTGTCAAGTCAAGTATCCTCTGTGGCGGGCCCATATTAGTCACTCGGAGCTCTGGCGCAATCTCTAGCACCACCACAAACAACATATTCCAGCTCTCAATCGCTCTCACGCCTGTGCTTACAGCCCCCACAACATTTGACACAATGAAGGCTCACCTGCATTAGTACCAGATCAATCTGGTTGGTGTCTGTCCATATTTAGGGACAAACAACAATATTTATGCAGTGGCTTTAGTTACACAACTCCCACCTCGGCGCACACATATGTAGGTCCCTAAACCATTCTGCTGTCTTATTTAACCACGTGGGCCCTATGTTTCTATGTTGCTGTGAAAATACTGCAATGTGGATTTGGTTGAATTGAGCCCCTATATCTTGACCTAGTATTACAACAATGCCCATCTCGGTCCACAGTAACCAGGTTTCCATCCAAAAGTGTTTTCTAATGATCAACTAGCCTTTTTAAAATGATAAACTTAGCAAACACAACGTGCCATTGGAACACAGGACTAATGGTTGCTGATAATGGGCCTCTGTACGCCTATGTAGATATTCCATAATAAATCAGCCGTTTCCAGCTACAATAGCCATTTACATCATTAACAATGTCTACACTGTATTTCTGATCAATTTGATGTTATTTTAATGGGCAAAAAAAAGTGATTTTCTTTCGAAAACAAGGACATTTCTAAGTGACCCCAAACTTTTGAACGGTAGTGTATATATATACTTTGTAAGTCCATATGTGATGGGAATGTGTATTGTGCTTTTTTCCCCCCGAACCCCTCCGATATACAAACACACACACATATACACAAACACACATTAGGTTGGAGAGGCTGGAGCAGTGTTGGGTGGATCAATTCCCTGTATAATAATAACTTAATAAATACAAATAGTTTTACTTTCCTTCTGAGTCCTCAATAAGTATATTTAAAGTAGCATATAATGTAGTCAAACACAATTGCAGAATGCTTTTGGGTACTAGTAGCAGGTAGACCCCCTTCACAGGTAGATGCTTCTATTGAAAAAAAATATGACACTTGACTGCTGTGATTTTGTAAACAAAGATAATGCATAAATATAGGCAAAAACGTTTTAATTACATTTAAACCTAAATGACGACTGGGGCTGGGGAGGTAGGGGCCTGGGGTCAATTTTGGAATTAATGTATGGTGTTTGGTACAGTACTCACTTCTTGAGGACGAGGTAGAGGCTCCGAGGCATACACAGGTACACTTGGTTTGGATAGCACGGAGGATCCTTTTGGCCACATAGTCAGGTTCCAGAATGGGCATGAGAGTGGGCCATCTGCAGGAAGCACCCAAAACAAAAACAAACATTTCTCTCACTGATCAACAGTTCAAAGGAATGGGCTGGCACACTCTAGTGTGAATCTACATCTAAAAACGCACTGCACACTTCCCTTTTTAATTTCACTTCATGGATCAAATCCTTAAAATGTTATGCCACCATGAACATTGGACTCAGTAATCAGTTTCTGCCTTCATTCTGTTCCTTTAAAGATATAAAACCCATAAACTTTGGAAAACAAATATCTGTTTGGAGAACAAGGGCTGTTACTTTCGCAAAGGAACCCATCAATTGTGTTTAGTTTCAAGTTTTAATGTCACGTGCACAAGTATAGTGAAATGCCTTTCTTGCAAGCTCCAAACCCAACAATGTAGTAATCAATTTCAATGTAGCACTAAAAATAACATAAAGTAGAACAAAAATAAGAAAGTAAGAAGCTATATACAGGGTTAGTTCCAGTACCATATTTACAATGTGCAGGGATACTGGAGTGATGGAGGTAGATATGTATAGGGGTAAGGGGACTAGGCATCAGGATATATGATAAACAGAGTAGCAGCAGCGTAAACGATGATTATATGTGAGTGAGTGTGTGTGTAGAGTAAGTATAAATGTGTGTGCATCAGTGGCGGTCGGTTCCGTTTAAGATGAGGGAGGATGATTATATTTTTAATGAGCATGGCCTTATTTCTATTACAGCATGTTGGATGACAATCATTCATATTCCATTCACCCAGCTCAATGTAACATCGAAAGGTTTAGACTACTTACTACATGAAACTCTACAACCTAGACTATGAATGAAAGTTTATAACGTAGGTGAACAGGTAGAGAGAAATTTGAGTAATCAAGATGACAGATATTGACACATTCAATACCGCCTTGCACAATCTTGCCTGCATCTAGCTGATATAGGGTCTAGTCTTTAGTCCAACAGTTGTAAACGAGAGTTTCTATTGGACAAATTCAGGTATGTTTATCCACGTTTCGTTCCGTTTGCTTCCATTTAAGAAACCTGGTCTAGATCATATTTCTATTGTTGCTCCAAACATAATGACAAAGTACAATTTCACCGTCAAGCAAAGTGAAGCAGAGCATACATTTCTATTGTCTAGCTGCTACATATAGCACAGTGCAACATTGTACACATTTCCACAATGTCTCCTACCGTGGCAACACTTCCTCTGCCATACAAAGCTTAAGGTAGTAGAACGTGTGTGTGTGTTGCAGTACGGTGAACCCACTTGGTGTTAGCGCCGTCAAACATCCCTGTGTTGATGAAGAAAGGGACACACGATGGTGGTCTTCACTCCGTCTGTCTTTGTCGCTCGCAGCTCCAGCGCCACAGACTCAGCGAGGCCAAAACTGCAAATTTACTGGCACATTAATCTGAGCACAGACAGAGAGTACAGGAATGGGAATGGATTACTCTGAGTGTTCACAGCAGAGAATCAATGAATTGCCTGCCCCTAACGGACATCATACAAATACAAATTGGTCACACTTTACATTAAATTCCTCTTGCATCTCTGACCACGTGACCATGGTTACTGGTTATCATTGCCGGGAGAAACGCTTTGTAAGTCTGGGGAAAAACAGATGATCATGGTTGAGCATTACTTTGCTGTCAATATGCATATCTTCATCACAGTGGAAGTAGAAATACCCCATGGGCACTATGATATTAGATTATTTTGTTATTTTGAACATATCCTTTGTCTCCTTGTCCCAGTATTTGTTTTAAGTCTTCTGTGTTTATCTTTACACCTACAGGATATTGATATAAGCATGTTGTGTTACGCTAAGAGTTAATTCCATGGACACATCCTATGTCAACTGCTGCTCTTTTACTCTGAGACTTGTTGTGGGAAAAGCCAAACTGTTGATGATAAAGTATGACACATTCCAACTCACCCAGAAGTGAGCATTGGAGTTCACCTCCATAGACTTCTCAATCAGGCTGTCGGGAGCATCCATGATCTTCCTCCCCGTCACAATGCCTGCATTGTTTATAAGGTTTGTCAAATCGCCCACTTCCCTTTTTCACCTGTCAATCAACACATAATATAGCATGTTGTATGGATGTAAGAGGCTAAGAACAGAAATGGAACCGAGCCTAAATCTACAAGGTACACAGATTGGTCACATGCTGGTCATGATGACCACTAATCTCTGCAGGCCCTCTGGCAGAGTATGACTGTGATTTCCCATATCTAACCAATACCCATGCACTGGATCCCAGCAATGTGAATATTGTGGGATCTGAGCTGTAGTCATGAAGTGGACTTGAACAAAGGGCGACATAAGAGGAACTCATTCGGGGTCTCGACTTACTGTTGAGAGTTAGAATAGTGGAATACACAAGGTGCAAGTTCGACATTTGGTTGTGCATCAGCAATTTTTATTTTGTGATGTCAGTCACTGACAGTCACTCAATTAGTCATGTCAGCTAACAATTTTTTAATTGGTAAATTAGTCTAGCCAGCTATCTAAACTTGTAGTAATCATGGCCGAGTACCGACCGGTCATGCAGGGCACGTGCCCAGGGTCCCTGACCTCCAGGGAGCCTTTTGTTAGTCACTCAGATATCATTAACATAGCAAAGTCATGGCAAGATGTGTAGAATTTAAGGAAATTTGCTTTAAATTGTGCCAACCAAATCTCGCTTAGGGCCCCCAAAAGGCTAGAGGCTTGCCTGAACAGAGCATATACAGTGCATTCGGAAAGGATTCAGACCCCTTGGCTTTTTCCGCATTTTATTATGTTACAACCTTATTCGAAAATTTATTACATAGATTTTTCCCCACATCAATCTACACACAATACCCCATGATGACAAAACAAAAGCAAGTTTGTAGACATTTTTGCACATTTATTAAAAATAAAAAACGGATATCACATTTACATAAGTATTCAGACCGTTTACTCAGTACTTTGTTGAAGCACTTTGGCAGCGATTATAGCCTCGAATGTTCTTGGGTATGACGCTACAAGCTTGGCACACCTGTATTTAGTGAGTTTCTCCCATTCTTCTCTGCAGATCCTCTCAAAATCTGTCAGGTTGGATGGGGAGCGTCGCTGCACAGCTATTTTCAGGTCTCTCCGAGATGTGAGATAGTTTTCAAGTCCGGGCTCTGACTGGGCCACTCAAGGACATTCAGATACTTGTCCCGAAGCCACTCCTGTGTTGTCTTGGCTGTGTGCTTAGGGTCGTTGTCCTGTTGGAAGGTGAACCTTCGCCCCAGTCTGAGGTCCTGAGCAATCTGGAGCAGGTTTTCATGAAGGATTTGCAAGAATTTCTAAAAACCTGTTTTTGCTTCATCATTCTGGGCTATTGTGTGTAGATTGATGAGGATAATTTTTTATTTAATCCATTTTAGAATAAGGCTGTAACATAACATTTCTCCCCAAAGCATGGAGGCCCTTTGAGTTATTGTACAGTATAATATACATTGGGTTGATCATTCAGTTATGTAAATATGAATCTTCCCTCTCACATACATTTGGATGGTTTCAGGAAGAAGCTTTGCTATATACACTACATGGCCAAAAGTATGTGGACAACTGCTCGTCGAACATCTCATTCCAAAATCATGGGCATTAATAAGAAGTTGGTCCCCCCTTTGCTGCTATAACAGCCTCTACTCTTCTGGGAAGGCTTTCCACTAGATGTTTGAACATTGCTGCGTGGACTAGCGTCCATTCAGCCACAAGAGCATTAGTGAGGTCGGGCACTGATGTTGAGCTTTTAGGCCTGGATCGCAGTCAGCGTTCCAATTCATCCCAAAGGTGTTCGATGGGGTTGAGGTCAGGGCTCTGTGCAGGCCAGTCAAGTTCTTCAACACCGATCTCGACAAACCATTTCTGTATGGACCTTGCTTTGTGCACAGGGGCATTGTCATGCTGAAACAGGAAAGGGCCTTCCCCAAACTGTTGCCACAAAGTTGGAAGCACAGAATCATCTAGAATGTCATTGTATGCTGTAGCGTTAAGATTTCCCTTCACTGTAACTAAGGGGCCTAGCCCGAACCATGAAAAACAGCCCGAGACCAACTTTACAGTTGGCACTATGCATTCGGGCTGGTAGCATTCTCCTGGCATCCGCCAAACGCAGATTTGTCTTCGGACTGCCAGATGGTGAAGCGTGATTCATCACTAGAGAACGCGTTTCCACTGCTCCATAGTCCAATGGCGGCGAGCTTTACACCACTCCAGCCGACGCTTGGCATTGCGCATGGTGATCTTAGGCTTGTGTACGGCTCCATTTCATGAAGCTCCCGATGACCAGTTATTTTGCTGATGTTGCTTCCAGAGGCGGTTTGGAACACGGTAATGAGTGTTGCAACCGAGGACAAGTAGCGATTTTAGCATGTACATCTTGGTGTGGCAACTCAACATTTTGGGGGGAGATCCATGCCAGCAAAGCCACTACACAACACAACACTAAACAATACATTAATTGCACTAAAACGGTGACAAACGGTGCCCACAAACTGTTAGGCCCTACATAAAGCTGTCCCAACAGCAGAGCTTTCTTTTCAGCACCGTGGAGTGAATCCTTACCACTGCTACACCTGGCTATCAGCGGAGCCTTGTCTGGCAGCGAAACAGTTCATTCAGCCTAATTTACTAGCTAATATGGCTGACTTGCTTAAACAAATGTGGTTTCTACTGGCAATTGAGATGAGCGGATAAGAGGCAATCCGTAATTTCGATTAAGACATTAATGAGCGAGCTAGGACGGACGTAGTCAATGTAACTATTTGTTCACTTTTAAAATGTACAGCGACAGAATTCAGAACATGGGCCGTTCTTACAGTATTCTCCCTGTACACCAAGTCAGAACTGTAGGATAAATAAAGGGGGCATATAAGCAGACAATGAAAGCTCTTACAATATTTGATGATTACATTTCTCTAAAACAGGCTATAGGCTATGTATAGGCTATGTGCACCACCAAGTCAGAACAGTAAACTAAGTTATGAGGGGGAAAGGGGCCAAATTATTAGGGTGAGGCACATGGGCTACTAACAGCTTACTACACAACATACCTTAGTATTACTTTCTTAGCTACTGTATACATATATTTTGCATATTACATAATTTATGCAGCAGCATACAAGATATTTTTGGACTCACCTTGTTGTGCTCACTTGAACAGGAAGGTGGCGCGGCGGTCCTTCTTGTGGACAAATTTTGTCATCAAACTTTGTCATCAAACTCTGGCATTCTCTGGAATTCTGAGTTGGATGACCGTTCAAAACGTATTTTCCCAGTCGGAGCACATTTTTTCCAGAGTTCCCAGTTTTCTTGAACTCAGTGAAGTCAGAGATTTCCCATTTCCGAGTTTCCAGTTGTTTTGAACACGGCAGAAGTTATGCTGGATTGACAGCATGGCCAATGTATTCAACCTATGTATTCAACCCAGACATGGACCACACACCCACTCCACTGAATAGCAGGCTAGTGATTGCTTTGGAATGCTTGCAGTTAGCCACTGATTCCTTCCAAACCACTCGTTGTTGAATTTGCTATTTCCAAGTTGTTGTGTCATGTTTATGTCCAGTGGCCGATGAACACCGATACGTTATATCTATAATTTCTCTTCATATGACAAGTATTGAAAAGGATTTGCAAGTTGATTGTCAATGTGATTCATGATGATGACTGCTTGTCTAGCTTGCTAGCTAAGATTTTGAAAGTATGATGTTGACATGATCTGTCCAATCAAAGCTATGGTAGATATAACGTGATTTTACGTCATTTTATCTGTAGCCAATGACCTTGAGCCTTCTTGGATGCGCACTTCTAATGTAACTCTATGGCAGCACCCAAGGGGCTTGACTTTTCGAGCTCTCCCCGTAGATTTTGTGGTGACGTAGTGTACCCATGAGTGACAGAACACTGAGCCAATCACGGCGCAACTAGAGAACATTACCAACCCCTACGCTCCATATTTTTCGCTGGCTGCCCCACCAGGTGGGGCTCAAAACAGATGGGGCTTTGGCCCACCTGCCCTGAGTGACAGGTCGCCACTGCCGAGGACAGACAATTTTTATGCACTATACACTGTTCTCTGAGCTTGTGTAGCCTACCACTTCGCGGCTGAGATGTTGTTGCTCCTAGACGTTTCCACTTCACAACGGCACTTAAAGTTGACCGGGGCAGCTCTAGCAGGGCAGAAATTCGATGAACTGACTTGTTGTAAAGGTGGCATCCTATGACGGTGCCACAATGAAAGTCACTGAGCTCTTCAGTACTGGCCATTCTACTGCCAATGTTTGTCTATGGAGATTGCATGGGTGTGTGCTCGATTTTATAGACCTTTCAGCAACGGGTGTGGCTGAAATAGCCGAATCCTCTAATTTGAAGGGGTGTACACATACTTTTGGCCATATAGTGTATTTGCATCTCAAATTACCATTATGAAGATCAGTGTATGCATGTTCTGAAAAATACTACAGACCTTCAAACTATTATCTGCAAAGTGGTAGAACATGATTGATAACATCCATACCATACAGCTATAAAACCTGTATAAACCTACCTGGTCAGCCACAGAGTACACCTCTGCCTTGTTGCTGCAGTCACAGATGTATGAGTAGACCCCGGTATCACCCTTTTCCTTCACCAGTCGAACAGTTTCCTTGTTGCCTTCCTGTCTAATGTCTCAAGGGCCATCAGCCTGCCGATGCCACTACCCGCCCCCGTGATGAGGACGGTTTCTCCCGCAGCGCTCTTCTTCCGCGAAGGGACGAACAGTTTTACAAGTGCCTCCAGGTTATAGTATATAGACAAGACCAGCACCTGTAGCGTCTCCGGAGTGAAGTTCATCTTGAAGATTAGTAGTAGAGGACCTATCAAATCGCATGGATTAAAGTTGGGTTAAAATGTAAATTCATGCGTTATGCATAGGCTATATCTGGTGGTATTGGTTCAAGGCGAAAAACACTGTCTTTCGTCTTTCAAAATCACATCATTGTAAGGCCTGTTATAAGGCTATGGGCTTCCATAGGCCTTATTCTGCATCAAAGGCAAACCTTTACAATTGATTGTTTTCTTCCCCATGTTGGTTGTTTCCCTTCCTATCTTCAATGTCCGAATCGTGGTTTAAACTAAGAAAACGAATAAGGATTCAAATTTAAATCATAGCACGTCAACAATATGCATCGTAATTCAGTTTAGCTTCAAATAAGACTACACAGCGTTTAACTTACCCCTTTCCTTACGGGACCAAGTATCAGAAACCGATATTGAGCATCAAAGTAACAAAAAAACTATTTAGGTTATCTTATTATTATAACAGTGTTTATCTAACATTTGCACATGGAGATCGTAGGGGCATACACCACTTTTAGCCTACCTATAGACAAAGTTCAATTCTATAATATAGGGCAGGCTATGGGCTTTAACGGTACACAGGATACAGAGGGCGTGGTCTCCTATTAACCATTTAAAGCCCGACATTCTCTGTGTGACGAGCTAATGGAAGTAGCTTATTTAGAAACGGCACGTTTAGTCCGTTTTCATTCAGTTTAACTTAAAGATCCACTTACCTTAATCTATAGGCTAAATATTGGTTCCCTTTTATGAAACGCACTGTCTGTGTTCTGCGTGTGGAACAGTGAAAGCATCAGCACAGCAACTACCGTTTAACTTTTACCTAGTAAGAGGCATTGTTGGGAGATGTCGATTTTACTACAAGCGACACATTGGTGAGAGAAACTGTGATGGTGCCCTGGATGTAGGACAAATAATGATTCATGCATTAGGTAATTGGTTTATAGCTACCGTCAAAGTAACCACTGTTCAGTCCACTTCAAATCTGTGGTCCACTCTAGTAACATTGTAGCAAACATTGGAGTCCATGTCCACACACCTCTCACACACAATGCACGCACACACTTTACCATTCAAATTACTTTGATAATAGGCCCAAATCAATCACATCTCATGAATAATATTATGTAATGTAGACTTCATATGCTACCAGCTTATTATTTATTTTTTAATCTTAAATTTACAGAATAACTGAATTATTAATGAACAGTTTACATGACTAATTCACTGCCCAGCCAATTAGGATCTATTTGTATTCTCAGACCCAAGACAATGATGCTGGGTTAAAAACAACCCAATTCGGGTAAATATTGGACAGAACACACATTTGGTTATTTTGACCCAGCCAGTTGGGTCACTCAGTTGGGCTGTTGGGTTATGAATGCTGGGTTATTGAGCTATCGACCGGGTTGATCAGAAGATTGGAGGCATGGCTTATTAGGGTTGTGGCGTTCAGATAGTTCTTTTTGGCCACCCGTGAGAGTAAATGTCATTCTGGTTAATCTGTTCTGTTGTATTGTTATCTGTATGTTGAGCACTGTCACGTTTGTGACGCTTACCCCAGAGTATGAGTTCCTCAAGTGCCTATGCATGTCCAGATTATTATAATATTTAAATAATAATGTTATACATTTTATATTAGCATATATATTGTGCAAAAAATATTGAAGGAAAACTGAAATTTGCAGTGTACAAACATAATATGATGAACAGGAATGACATTTACTCTCACGGGTGGCCAAAAATAACACGATTACCCAAACATGGGTTAATTATCCATCAGTTGCATTTTTATTCCCTTTAATACTGGGTTAGTCTTTTTTTAATGCAATCCATAGGTTATTTTCAGGAGACGTGGCCTATTGGGGGAGTGACTTTCAGCTAGTTCTTTTTGCCCACCTGTGAGAGTAAATTTAATTCCTGTTCATGTTAACTTTGTACACTGCAAAAAAATAACAAATCTTCAATATTTTTGCACATGATATATTTTGATATAAAGGTAACAACATTATTATTTAAATATTATAGCATAGTGGTAACTATCCCAACATTCGGATATATGTGCACTCTTGTGTAAGCCTCATTAAAGCCACAAAAGTGTCTTTGCTCAACCTTAACATGTGATGACCATACAACAGAACAGAGTAACCGGAATTACATTTATTCTCACAGGTGGCCAAAAAGAACTATCTGAAAGCCACATCCCTACTAAGCCACGCCTCCTGTCTTCAAAGAAAACAACCCAACTAAGTGACCCAACTGGCTGTGTCAAAATAACCCAACGTGTGTTCTGTCCACTAGTTACTCAGCGCTGGATTGTTCTTTATTATTTTCTGTGTATTTCAATATGCTTTATTAGTGTGTAGTTTGAGGTTATTTTGTGAGATCAGCTATTGATTAATTGTGAGCCAAACTTGCCTCTTTGTGCTTTGCTGTTGTGTTCCCAAGCGCTAGATGTTTAGGCTTCTCAGCTAGGGAGTAGTGGGGCACCCCGGTAACACTTTACATGAAGGTGTTTACAAGTTTATAAACTGTTAACTTATAGTGCATAGTTAAGAAATTTGTAAAAAATAATAATAATACTGCTTTTAAAATAGGAAATTATTGTTTCAAGTTTTCAGGTTTAATTTATTACACTCATATAGCAGTCAATACAAACTGAAATCCATGAGCATGCAGCATATTAATGGATTAGAGCAACAAAATAAAAGAAATACGAGTAAAAAAAGGCCAATCAATCAACCAATCAATGCGGTCTTAAAGCGAATCATTAAACAATTAGTAGAAATATGTGATTGGTGACCTCATGTACCATTCAGTTCTAGACTTTGGTACAATCAGTTTGTTTTGGCTGCAGGTGTTCCTACCTGTCACTGTGATTTGGTCAGGGGGTAGCCAGTCTCTGAATTGAGATTACAAGAGGCTGACAGCAGAGTTGTGTCCATATTTCATGAAGCTGGGACAGGGACAGGGTCTGAAGTGCCCTTAGTATAACTGGAGTATCCTCCTAGGTTGGTGTGGCATGCTCTCTTCTGAATACGCTCCAGGTCATCAGACTGGGCCTGGGTCAGTGAGCTGTGCCAAGCAGGAGCGGCATACTCCAGCGTGTGGCATATGTAGCCGGTGTAAATGCTCACCAGGTCCTCCTGTGGCACATGGAACCTTTTAAGGCGAAGAAGGAGAAAACGTTTTCTGTTGCTCTTGGTTATCATAGTAGCAACCTGCTTGCCCCATTGTTAGTCCTTCTGTGCCATTACCCGTAAAATCTTCACACTATCACACACTTTGAGATCCTGGCCCTCGATCCAGAGAGGGCATGGGACAGGTGGATTTATTTTGAAGGTGACTGATAGGACCTTGCACTTGGCAGGGTTCAGTGACGTAGATGAGTGTGGGTTTACTCTCTTACATACTGTACAACTCTTGGAGGACAATGGAAGTTGAATGGAGGGAAAGGCTTCTCAATAAAGATGCATTTGCCTTTCAGCTTTCATTGTTACAATTTTGACAAATGTGGAAGAAGCCATCTGCTTTGCCATCAATGTTGACACAAAGTATTCATCTCCATTAGGGCTTTGTTTTTCGTGGATACATTTTTGTTGTTGATGTGGTTTGGCTCTGAGATATTTCAGTGCTGTATGCTGAACAAACTGTCATTACAGCACTTTTGATGGACAGGCTTGGTGAACGCGGCATTCTCCCCAATGAGTGCACTCAATCTTAAGAGAGATCTGCTGTTGGATCTGACAATTAATCTTGATGGTTGTACAGTCGTCTCAAATAATACTGTGAAGGACCTCGGCATTACTCTGGACCCTGATCACTCTTTTGACGAACATATCAAAAATAGTTTGAGGACAGTTTTTTTGCATCTTCGTAACATTGCAAAAATCAGAAACCTTTTGTCCAAAAATGATGCAGAAAAGCTAATCCATGCTTTTGTCACTTTTAGATTAGACTACTGCAATGCTCTACTCCCAGGCTACCCGGATAAAGCACTAAATAAACTTCAGTTAGTGCTAAACATGGCTGCTAGAATCCTGACTAGAACCAAAAAATTTGATCATATTACTCCAGTGCTAGCCGCTCTACATTGGCTTCCTGTTAAGGCTAGGGCTGATTTCAAGGTTTTACTGCTAACCTACAAAGCATTACATGGGCTTGCTCCTACCTATCTCTCTGATTTGGTCCTGCCGTACATACCTACACGTACGCTACGGTCACAAGACGCAGGCCTCCTTATTGTCCCTAGGATTTCTAAGCAAAAAGCTGGAGGCAGGGCTTTCTCCTATAGAGCTTCATTTTTATGGAATGGTCTGCCTATCCATGTGAGAGACGCAGACTCGGTCTCGACCTTTAAGTCATTACTGAAGACTCATCTCTTCAGTAGGTCCTATGATTGAGTGTAGTCTGGCCCAGGGGTGCGAAGGTGAACGGCAAGGCACTGGAACGACGAACCAACCTTGCTGTCTCTGCCTGGCCGGCTCCCCTCTCTCCACTGGGATTCTCTGCAACTGACCCTACTACGGGGGCTGAGTCACTGGCTTACTAGTGCTCTTCCATGCCGTCCCTAGGAGGGGTGCGTCACTTGAGTGGGTTGAGTCACATACGTGATCTTCCTGTCCGCCCCCTCGGGCTTGTGCGGTGGAGGAGATCTTCGTGGGCTATACTCAGCCTTGTAAGTTGTTGGTCTATTGATATCCCTCTAGTGGTGTGGGGGTTCATCAGATGAACTCGAGGATACATTTTTGTATGTCTCTGCGTGAGGTTGGAGGTAGTATCACGAGCCATTAGCAATTGTGCTAACACTAGTTAGCAACTTCCTTCAAACTGCACGCAGAGACATAAAAATGGTATCCATGACATCATTGGACTCTGGGTAAGTAGAAAAAGGGCTTAATTGCCAGAAGCTTGCGCTATCCCAACCCTTTAGAGAAATAATAATAGATATATGCAGTGCAAAAAATTTATTGTGTAGCATACTTAAATGATTGCATACACTTAAGTGGATGATTGTGGCGAGAAAGAGAAAAATAGGATGCCGATTCAGAGTGATAAGACAGATTTATTAATGACAAACATTTTGCAGTTAGCGCAATTTATTATTCTATGTACAGATAAGCAGGTGGTTACAAGGATTTAAATAAAATGAAATAAATAGATGCATCTAGAAAATGGACAGCCGTTAACTACAGTAAAGCAAGATGTGTGAAACAGTATTCCAGTCTAGCAAATATCTTATTCTGACTGTAGGGTATTTCTTCGGTTCGATGCGTCCAAGAAACCTTTATTTTGGGCACATCTAGGTTTCTCAGTCTCTACAATAATAACGGTCCCCATATCAGGAGATTAGTGCTTTACCAATTCCTAGAATCACTGAGTGTGTGTGTGTGTGTGTTTCTATGTGAGAAAATAACGAGTCTCAAATAGCCGACTGCACTCAGAGAAGTGCTTAGGAAAGTCTATTAGAGGTGGAGAGTGAATATTACAGTATATCACACCACTAAAATCACCATGTAGGCTTTAGCATGTTTACTAGCGCCAATCAGGTACAGAAACCTGTAAGAATGCAGGCAAGACAAGAAAACAGAGCATGACTGAGCACTGGTAGGTATTTAGGAAAGTCAGTATAGCAGGAATCATCCGTATCTCTTCTCCACCACGTCAGGAACGTCTTCCAACTCAACGCGCTCCTTCTCCTCCTCCTCATCCTCTTCCTCCCTCCATGCTTGCTTGTTGAGGAAGCCTCCGTAGCGTTTCTGCTCCTCCCTCCACTCTGGCCTTCCCACCCTCCTCATGAAGCCACCGTAGCGCTTCTGCAGCTGTTGGATACCATTCTCCAAGTCAGAGCTTTGTCTTGCGCTCCTCAGCAGGTTTCCGTAGCGCTTCGCCCTGCTGTCTCCCTGCTGTGGTCGACAGGACCGTACAGTTCGGCCATTTTCTTAATGAAGCCCCCGTACTTCTTTACTAGTTGATGTGGGTCATTGTTGTCCAGCTTGGAGCTTTCTGTGGTAGCCTTGTCTCCCTCTGTTGGACTGTCAGCATTTCTAGCCTGCAGACTTCCTCACACAGCTCCCAGGACTTTTTGGGTCTGAGAGCTCCTTGACGCTCTAACGTACATGTCTGGGGGAGAGATCGAGATCAGAACATCAAATGAAATTAATCAATAAATCATAAGGGAATAAAATTAGCAGTTATGAAACTCTTTGCTTTATATTTAAACTTGATCACATACAGTGCATTCGGAAAGTATTCAGAGCCCTTGACTTTTTCAAAATGTTGTTACGTTACAGCCTTATTCTAAAATTGATTAAATAGCTTTTTTTTAAAACAGGTTTGTTGAAAATGTATTAAAAAATTAAAAAACGCAAATAAAACATTTACATAAGTACTCAGACCCTTTACTCAGTACTTTGTTGAAGCACCTTTGGCAGCGATTACAGCCTTGAGTCTTCTTGGGTATGACGCTACAAGCTTGGCACACCTGTATTTGGGGAGTTTCTCCTATTCTTCTCTGCAGATCCTCTCAAGCTCTGTCAGGTTGGATGGGAAGCATTGCTGCACAGCTATTTGCAGGTCTCTCCAGAGATGTTAGTTCGGGTTCAAATCCGGGCTCTGGCTGGGCCACTCCTGCGTTGTCTTGGCTGTGTGCTTAGGCTCATTGTCCTGTTGGAAGGGGAACCTTTGCCCCAGTCTGAGGTCCTGAGCGCTCTGGAGCAGGTTTTCATGTACTTTGCTCCGTTAATCTTTCCCTCGATCCTGACTAGTCTCCCGGTCCCTGCTGCTGAAAAACATCCCCAAAGCATGATGCTGCCACCACAATGCTTCACCGTAGGGATGGTGCCAGGTTTCCTCCAGACGTGACGCTTTGCCTTCAGGCCAAAGAGTTCAATCTTGGTTTCATCAGACCAGAGAATCTTGTTTCTCATGGTCTGAGAGTCCTTCAGGTGCCTTTTGGCAAACTCCAAGCGGGCTGACATGTGCTTTCTACTGAGGAATGACTTCCATCTGACCACTCTACCATAAAGGCCTGCTTGGTGGAGTGCTGCATAGATGGTTGTCCTTCTGGAAGGTTCTCCAATCTCCACATATGAACTCTGGAGCTCTGTCGGAGTGACCATCGGGTTATTGGTCACCTCCCTGGGCAGTGTTGTGGTTGTCTTGGTCTTGGTTGATCAAAACTTTTTACGTTTAATAATGACGGAGGCCACTGTGTTCTTGCGGACCTTCAATGCTGCAGAAATGTTTTGGTACCCTTCCCCAGATCTGTGCCTCGACACAATCCTGTTTCGGAGCTCTACGGACAATTCCTTTGACCTCATGGCTTGGTTTGTGCTCTGACATGCACTGTCAACTGTGGGACCTTATATAGACAGTTGTGTGCCTTTCCAAATCATGTCCAATCAATTGAATTTACGACAGGTTGACTCCAATGAAGTTGTAGAAACATCAACGATTATCAATGGAAACAGGATACACCTGAGCTCAATTTTAAGTCTCATAGCAAAGGGTCTGAACACTTATGTAAATAAGGTATTTCTGTTTTTTACTCTTCATACATTTGCGAAAATGTAAAAAAAACTGTTTTCGCTTTGTCAGTATGGGGTATTGTGTGTAGATTTATGAAGATTTTTTTCATTCAATCCATTTTAGAATAAGGCTGTAACGTAACAAAATGTGGAAAAAGGGAAGGGGTCTAATTACTTTCCGAATGCACTGTATATGATGATAAACAATGTTATTCCTCAATCCAATATTTCATCAACTGTCCACCCTTGAAATCTATTTGTCTCTTTGTGGTTCTCCTTTCCAATAACCCATACATCTCATTATTATTGAAAAACACAGTGCTCAGGTTTACGGTAGAGCTACAGTACGCTTGATGGAGAGAGACCCCATGACCACAGCCTATCAGACGTGAAGTGCTCTCCGTTGTGTGAGAAATGTCACTCTAAATTCCCCAGCACAGTGCCCTTGGTCGTGGGAGTTGGGAGGCTGGGGGCTTCACACAAACACCACAGTGCATTGAGTGTTCCACCATTCACACAGTACATTTAGCAAGAGCGAATCAATCCTGAGAATCCAAACAGCTCTAATGGTATGTGACATTTCTTCAGTCTCTCTCTGACATCAACCCCCTCCCTTGCCTCAGGCAAAGCTGTAGGATGTAATTGGGGAGAGTATACCTCATATGCTTTCAAATCAAATCAAATCAAATTGAACCGGTGTAGACTTTACAGTGAAATGCTTACTTACAAGCCCTTAACCAACAATGCATTTAAGAAAAATAAGTTAAGTAAAAAATAGATAACTAAAAATTAATAAAAAATTATTAAAGAGCTGCAGTAAAATAACAGTGGCGAGGCTATATACAGGAGGTACCGGTACAGAGTCAATGGCGGGGGGGGGGGATCAATGCAAATAGTCTGGGTAGCCATTTGATTAGCTGTTCAGGAGTCTTATGGCTTGGGGGTAGAAACTGTTAAGAGGCCTTTTGGACCTAGACTTGGAGCTCTGGTACCGCTTGCCATGCGGTAGCAGAGAGAACAGTCTATGACTAGGGTGTCTGGAGTGTTTGACAATTTTTAGGGCCTGGTATAGAAGTCCTGGATGGCAGGAAGCTTGGCCCCAGTGATGTACTGGGCCGTACGCACTACCCTCTGTAGTGCCTTGCTGTCGGAGGCCGAACAGTTGCCATACCAGGCAGTGATGTAACCTTTTTGAGGATCTGAGGACCCATGCTAAATCTTTTCAGTCTCCTGAGGGGGAATAGGCTTTGTCGTGCCCTCTTCACGACTGCCATGGTGTGTTTGGACCATGATATTTTTTTGGTGATGTGGACACCAAGGAACTTGAAGCTCTCAACCTGCTCCACTACAGCCCCGTCGATGAGAATGGAGGCGTGCGTGATCCTCTTTCTCCTGTAGTCCACAATCATCTCCTTTGTCTTGATCACGTTGAGGGAGAGGTTGTTATCCTGGCACCACATGGCCAGGTCTCTGACCTCCTCTCTATAGGCTGTCTCATCGTTGTCGGTGATCAGGCCTACCACTGTTGTGTCGTCGTCAAACTTAATGATGGTGTTGGAGTTGTGCCTGGCCATGCAGTCATGGTTGAACAGGGAGTACATGAGGGGACTAAGCACGCACCCCTGAGGGCCCCCGTGTTGAGGATCAGTGTGGCAGATGTGTTGTTACCTACCCTTACCACCTGTGGGTGTCCCGTCAGGAAGTCCAGGATCCAGTTGCAGAGGGTGGTGTTTAGTCCCAGGGTCCTTAGCTTAGTGATAAACTTTGAGGGCACTATGGTGTTGAACACTGAGCTGTAGTCAATGAATAGCATTCTCACGTAGGTGTTCCTTTTGTCCAGGTGGGAAAGGGCAGTGTGGAGTGCAATAGATTGCATCATCTGTGGATCTGTTGGGGCGGTATGCAAATTGGAGTGGGTCTAGAGGTTTCTGGGATAATGGTGTTGATGTGAGCCATGACCAGCCTTTCAAAGCACTTCATGGCTACAGATGTGAGTGCTACGGGTCGGTAGTCATTTAGGCAGGTTATCTTAGTGTTCTTGGGCACAGGGACTATGGTGGTCTGCTTGAAACACGTTGGTAGTACAGACTCAGTGAGGGACAGGTTGAAAATGTCAGTGAAGACACTTTGGTCAGCGCATGCTCGGAGTACACGTCCTGGGAATCCGCCCTGCGGCCTTGTGAATGTTGACCTGTTTAAAGGTCTTACTCACATCGGCTACGGAGAGCGTGATCACACAGTCGTCCAGAACAGCTGATGCTCTCATGCATGCTTCAGTGTTGCTTGCCTCGACGCGAGCATAGAGGTAATTTAGCTTGTCTGGTAGGCTCGTGTCACTGGGCAGCTCGCGGCTGTGCTTCCCTTTTGTAGTCTGTAATAGTTTGCAAGCCCTGGCACATCCGACAAGCGTCGGAGCCGGTGTAGTATGATTGAATCTTAGTCCTGTATTGAAGCTTTGTCTGTTTGATGGTTCGTCGGAGGGCATACCGGGATTTCTTATAAGCGTCCGGGTTAGAGTCCCGCTCTACCCTTTAGCTCAGTGCGGCTGTTGCCTGTAATCCATGGCTTCTGGTTGGGGTATGTACGTACAGTCACTGTGGGGATGACGTCATCGATGCACATATTGATGAAGCCAGTGACTGGTGTGGTGTACTCCTCAATGCCATCGGAAGAATCCCGGAACATATTCCAGTCTGTGCTAGCAAAACTGTCCTGTAGCTTAGCATCTGCGTCATCTGACCACTTCTTTATTGACCAAGTCACTGGTGATTCCTGCTTTAATTCTACTTTGGAGAATTTAAAACAACATTATTACATAATGCAGATTATAAACCGGGTCATTCGATCCCTGAATGCTAATTGGTTGAAAGCTGTGGTATATCAGACAGTATACCACTGGTATGACACAAGATGATGCGTTTAGTGTTCTTATTTGGTATTTTATTAGTATCCCCATTAGCTCTTCCTGGGGTCCACACAAAACATGAAACATTACATAATACAGAACATTAATAGCCAAGAATAGCTCAAGGACAGAACTACATAAAAAAATTTAAGTGGCACACGTAGCCTACATATCAATACATACACACAAACTATCTAGGTCAAATAGGTGAGAGGCGTTGCGCCGTGAGGTGTTGCTTTATCTGTTTTTTGAAACCAGGTTTGCTGTTTATTTGAGCAATATGAGATGGAACGGAGTTCCATGCAATAATGTCTCTATATAATACTGTACGCTTTCTTGAATTTGTTCTGGATTTGGGGACTGTGAAAAGACCCTGGTGGCATGTCTGGTGGGGTAAGTGTATGTGTCAGAGCTGTGTGTAAGTTGACTATGCAAACAATTTGGGATTTTCAACACATTAATGTTTCTTATAAAAAGAAGTCTCTCCTCAAAACTTAGCCAAGAGAGACTGGCATGCATAGTATTTATATCAGCCCCCTGATTACAATGAAGAGCAAGATGTGCCACTCTGTTTTGGGCCAGCTGCAGCTTAACTAGGTCTTTCCTTGCAGCACTGGACCACACAACTGGACAATAATCAAGATTAGACAAAACTAGAGCCTGCAGAACTTGCTTTTTGGAGTGTGGTGTCAAAAAAGCAGAGCATCTCTTTATTACGGACAGACCTCTCCCCATCTTTACAACCATTGAATCTATATGTTTTGACCATAATTACGTTGGTAACCAGTTTATAATAGCAATAAGGCACCTCGGGGGGTTGTGGTATATGGCCAAAATACCACTGCTAAGGGTTGTATCCAGGCACTCCGCGTTGAGTCTTGCGTAAGAACAGCCCATAGCCGTTCTATCATAAAGTCATGCCCCTTCTAAGCCATGCTTCCACTCCAGGTTGCTTCATTGAACCAAACGGTTCCTCCAAGAACACCTCAACTTACCGAAGGTGCACATATGAACCATGAACTCCAGGCGTTCCTTGAGGATCTCCAGGGTTCCTCGACTCACCACTAATTCTAAGAGTGTAGGTAGGCCTATAGCAAACTCTTTGAGATCTGAGCGGCTCTATGAAAAAAGTTCAGAGAAACCCATGTGCAGATAGCCAAGTAAAGAGCGAACATTAAGTAATCCCCTTTTAATACAAACTTTATGTTATGAAAAAATATTATGTTGTACTTACGCTAGAGATTATATCTGTCTGTTGAAGTTGTAGGTGATGTATACAATATGTCTGCCCCGCAGTCTGCACTCACCGTCAACACAAGGAACATGGTCACAGCCAGCGTCCAGCAGGAACGCACAGATACCGCCATGGGCTGTGAAACATGAGAAAGACAGTGAGCAAAATGATCAATGCTGTTCAAATAGTATCAGGCTTGTGCATGTACAATAAAAATGAAACCATTCATTATTAATCTATTGAATGATGCTTATAGTGCATGTGCATCAGCCAAGTCACAGGAGAGTAAAAAAAATTAAATGTAGTCTAGTTTTGTTAGACAGCCTACAGTATCTAACTAATTAGACAGAGACAAAATTATACACATTAATGTAAGTATGAGTGCAAAATAGGCTATTAGACCCTTATAGGTCAGCTATAATAGAAATCAAAGTTACCTTTTGTTTGTTGTGTAGCCTACTAAGTAAATAGACAGACGCTCCAAGTTGTTCTGTTGCAGTTGTAGTGTGGAATAAACCTGTTGGATATAGCGAACTACAGTCAGCAACTTCGTGGGTAGTCTAGCCCTAAATCAATTTTAATTCCGAGTCAGAATCTTGGAAGAGAAAGCAGGGAAAGCACCTGCCACTTCAGTCACTATAGCAGCATCTGAAAGGTTTGAATATGGGCTCCGTTTCAGTGGGTGGGACTATGGAAAGCCAAAATGTTCAAATCGTCTTACCAGTGAACACATCTTTACACTTGTAATTATCATTTTTCACTTGCTTTTTTTAGTGTCAAAAGTGTCAATCTTTACACATGTTCTTTGCCCATATCTGATTTACTGTAATATTTTCTGGGCCAGTACATATGTCTCCTACCTACACAAATTACTCATACAAAAAAATGCAAGCCTAGCAACCTCTAATTACCTGGCTCCATCTGCATCTTTGTTTAAGAAACTCAATATCTTGTCTATTTATGACATTAATGTACGCCAATTATGCATTTTAATCTACAAATACTCATACCACCCAGGCTGTTTACCTAAACCCTTCAATTGGTTCTTTCAGGTTATTTCTAAAATCCACCTATATATCATAAGACACTGCGATAACCTTCACTCTCCCCACTGCCGCACCTCGCATAGTCAATTCTCTATCATATACAGAGGTACCATACTCTGGAATTCTTATCTTCACATTGCCAAAACCTCAATAACTTCAAGCGAAGACTGGGGGTCAGCCTAATGAAACAAACTACTCTGTAATCTCCTCGACATAGCCCAGCTCTCCCACACTCACATCCACACACACATTTAAACATAACATATGCTGTTTATTTATTTATTGTGATTGCTGATCGGTTCATTTGTACATTCATGATTAGTGGGTTTTGTTATGTTTTAACAAACTTTATTTATTTTTGTGCTTATATATTGTATATTGTTTTTTTGTGGTGTAGCTTTTATAGAAACCCTTGGGCTTCCAACCATACCTGCACACCGTTTTATATAAATATATATTTTTTATCTGTATTGTTGTTTATTACTTATTTTCTTTGGTGCAAATAAATTAAACAAACTTCTTCTTATAAATATGTTTTTTATTTTTAAATTCACATGCACTTTTGGAGCTTAGCGCTTAAGTATTTCACTATACCCTGCAACTACATCTGAGAGCCTGTGCATGTGACTAATCTAAATGTGGTTATCAATGGCATTGGTTATATGGGCCAACAGGTTTGAGGATATTATATTTAATTTTGTAAGGGAACAATCTTTGCAAAATAAGGCAATTGATATGTTATTAACTTGAGATGACATAATTAAGGTATGAAATAATTGTAATGTTAATGAAATTTCTGTGGGCCCACCTCGGGGGTCATACCTTTATGCATTTTGGGGTATATTGAGACAGAATGGGAATTATTGAGATGTGCTCTATTATCACATGGTACCCTAGATAACTACACCAAATTTCCCACAGAACAAGGAGACCCACAATTTCAAAGAGTCATCATAGCTTTTGTGTAAAATCAGTCACAGCAGCCTATTTTAAAGTTGGCTGCCATTAATATAAATGTGGAGGAACTGAAAATATTTTTTAAAGCCATAAATGAATAAAACTAATTATGTAATAAGACCAATAACGGCTGAAAATGTGTGTTACAGTGAAGAAAATCCTAAATGATGTCCCAGAGATGCAAAATATTACCAGAATAATTGGAGAAATATGTATAAAATGCTGTCTGAATTTATATTACAAATACATTAAAACACTTAGAAAATGTAAAAGCATTCACAGATGTCTATTGATTAAAATGATATGCAATATGATTCTATAACTTGTGTTAACATTAAGAAATTCCATGTACATTGCACCCTATATGAAATCCCAGAGGAATGCACTACGTCCAGCAAAGAGGTACAGTCATAGTCATACAGGTAACCCATTTTCACAAAATGCCTTCATAAGGAGTCCACCAAATTTCACATGAAGCTAGGGAAAGTCTAAACAATGATGCCTAGCTGTTACTGATTAAATCATAGGGTATACATTTTCCAATATGGCCGCCAACCAGCTCCATCCCACTGAGCACACACTGGTTGAAGCAAAGTTGTTTCAATGTCATTTGTCAACCTAATATGTGGAATCTACGTTGAAAACACATTTGGTTTTCATCTAATTTCAACCAGCGTTCTAAACATTGAGATTAGGGTAAAACTGCAACTCAAATACAATAACTTAACCTGACTAACAGGCTGTTACATCAATCTAATTTCAACATAATCATATGTTCAAAATTCAAAAGGCAATCGCACATCTGAGCTATCTTTTTTGCAGCTGCATGGTAACAGTTGAATAAGATGAGAAAAAATAAGAAACCCGCACACTGCTCTTGCTAGAAGAAGAAACCTGCACACTGCTCTTGCTAGTATCACTGCTCTTTAATAAGCTTTACGTATCGGCCTCAAGGCCTTCGTCAGAGCTTTTGTGATTTAAAAAAAATATTAGCACCCTTATGTAGACATACACTACCAGTCAAAAGTTTGGACACACCTACTCATTCAAGGGTTTTTCTTTATTTTTTACATTTTTTTTATATTGTAGAATAATAGTGAAGACTATGAAATAACACATATGGAATCATGTAGTAACCAAAAAAGTGTTAAACAAATCAAAATATATTTGAGATTTTTCAAATAGCCACCCTTTGCCTTGATGACAGCTTTGCACACTCTTGGCATTCTCTCAACCAGCTTCATGAGGTAGTCACCTGGAATGCATTTCAATTAACAGGTGTGCCTTCTTAAAAGTTAATTTGTGGAATGTATTTCCTTCTTAATGCGTTTGAGCCAATCAGTTGTGTTGTGACAAGGTGGGGGGATATGCAGAAGATAACCCTATTTGGTAAAAGACCAAGTCCATATTATGGCATGAACAGCTTAAATAAGCAAAGAGAAACAACAGTCCATCATGACTTTAAAGCATGAAGGTCGGTCAATATGGAACATTTAAAGAACTTTGAAAGTTTCTTCAATGCAGTCGCAAAAACCATCCACAAACCTCTGTTGTGTGGAGGGCATGCTGAGGCTTATAGCTGGGGCAGGGAGCAGGCTGGATGGAGTGGTGTCCCCTTGCAGAGATCGGGCACCCTCTCCGAGGGTCGGCCCCCTTCCCTGAGTTGGCCCTACCCCTCTCCGGCCATCTCCCTGGTGCAGGGAGCTGGGTGGATCTAGTGGTGCCCCTTGGTGGCCACAGGCGGGGGTCGAACCCCCTTTCCGGGAGTTAGCCACCCTTACTGGGTCGGCCCCGTCACTCTCCGGCCCTCTCCCCCCATTCCCTGGGGCAGGAAGCTGGCTGGATGTAGTGGTGTCCCCTGCTGGCCGCGGGCGGAGGTCAGCCCCCCTCCCTGAGTTGGCCCCAGCCCTCTCTGGCTGTCTCTGCCTCCCTCTTCCTGGTGCAGGGAGCTGGCTGGATGTACTGGTGCCCCCTGGGGGCCGTGGGTGGGGGTAGGCACCCTTCTCCGGGGGTCGGGCCCCCCTCCCTGGGTTAGCCTCAGCCCTTTATGGCCCTCTCCCCCCATATCCCTGGAGAAGAGAGCTGGCTGGATGTAGTGGCCTTGGTCAGCGGCGGGGGGGGGTTGGCCCCCCCTTCTGGTCATCGGCCGCTGTCCCCGGGGATCGGCCCAACCAGTCTCTGGGTCAAGACTCTAGACAGAGTCTCTGGGTTAGAGTATTAACATCACCTGTAAATGCACACTGGACAGTTGTAAAGAGCACGTGTAAAAATGACCTATGGATGTGTATCTAGCTATGTAGCCAATCTGTGTATGGACCCTAAAACGTTGGGTATAAATATTAGTTCAGAACCTAGCTATGAACCTCAGCTATCATAGCCGGTTGTATTGACTTCAAAACAATCTGAATGGCATTAATGAAGCCTATGGATTGAGTCAGTGGCGGCTGGTGAAAAATATTCTCGGTGGGGCTGTGCCATACTTTTTTTTTCCTGTAACCATCGCGATATATTTTAACACAAACTGCAGGACAGCAGTGCTCAGTGAAACATTCAGTAATTATTTAATGCCAATATTAAAAAGTTGAGGCATTCTTACACAAAAACATATTACACAAACCCAAGCCTTTCATTTGCATTTAAAGTGAACTTTTCACCATTGGTAGTAAACAGGCAACGCAACAGGCATGCTGTCAGAACAGAGTGGAAAGTGGACAATAACATGAAATTATTATAAAGTTTATAGGAAATCTTACACTGTATAAAAGGATGTATAATATAGAAATGGATATCAAGTGGATGAACTCAAACCTTTGACTGGAAGAATAGCATACAGTATTTTATGATCATACTAAATGTGACTAACTGTTAATGTGCTCCAGAACTGCAACAATTAATTGATACAAAACAACATATATACAGTAATATTAGCAAAGACACTATTAAGACTTTCTAGAGTACCATATATAACTGGATTTTTTATGCTAAGGTCAACTATATACAAAGAAACATGCGGCCAGAGCTGCTCTGTGTGTGTGTGTCTGTCATCTTATTTGTACAGGAATTTTGCCCGTCTGTCCTTCTGAGTGGCAAACCTCTCAATGACCCTTTGATTAAAGTCAGGAATGTCCCT